TATATATATATATATATATATATTAAAAAAAGAATGGTCTGAGACTATTATACGAACCCTCGCCATTACCAATTTGTCTAACAATTTGAGTACCACATCCTACACTCAAGGGGAATCGAACCCCAGCCAGAGAGTACTTACAACTGACAAGCAGATGTCCGACCAACTGAGCCATGTGACTATAATTCGAACCCCCACGCACCACGATAAGGATCGAACTCTTGTTTGAGAGGACTTACAGTGACCCTGCCTAACAACTGGACAAGGAATGTGACACACACACACACACACATATATATATATATATAGTGTGTGTGCGCTCGCGAGCACTCGGTACATACATATATATGTCGATACACACACACACACATATATATAAATATATGTATGTATGTATGCATGTTTGTATGTGTGTAGGAAATAATCCCTTCGTTATGCATGCAAAGGGTAAGATATGGACAGAGAAGGCTCAGACTTGCAATGAAAGAAGTAATGAGAAAATAAATTCTTAAATAGCTCGATGCGTGCATCTAGTTTCACATTTTTTATGGTACATGGGTGATCCATATCCATTGCGTTCCTAAGAAGGGAGGGGGGGACGGGCTTTGAGAGTAGTTGAAAAGGATAGGAATGAGCTTTTATCTACTAGAAGTGTTAGTGTCTGGAGGATTTCTATATACTATAGAAGTTAAACAAAGCTTTTACGATCTGGTTTTGAGTCAAGCTTGGGTTGGCTCAAAATTATCTGAAGTTTTGGCTCATTGCTCGAATCGTTTATTTCGATCTGATCTCTATTCAAGCCAAAATTTAAATAAATTTTCGAGCGATTAACAATCTTTCAGCTAAATTATCTAAATCGACAACTAAACGCTATTAACCATTCGATACAGAGTCGAGCCACCGCGATCAACTCAAAAAAAATTTGATGTAAAATTTTGGACCATAGCTTGACTCATTTATTTTGATTCGATCTCGATCCAAGCCAAAATTCAAAACAATCTTTGAGCGATTAACAATCTTTGAGCTAAATTCACAGCCCTTCTTCTAAGAAGGGTCCTTTTCCCTTGTCATTTTTTATTCATATGTTAGATAGATTGGTATGAAATCTTTATTTCTGCTTTTTAGATGGTTATTCAGAAACCAAAAAATTCTTATAGCATTAGATGATAGAGACAATACCATATTACTAGTTCTTATGAAACTTATACTTTTACAAGAATGCACTTTGGGCTATTTAATTCCTTTGCTATTTTATGGTGTTAGTATCTTATTATCATTATTAAAGAAGGGATTGATGTGTTTATAAATGATTTCTCTATTTTTGGCATATCATTTGACTCATGCTTGAAACAATTTACTAATATTTTGTAAAGACGTGTAAAGATTTTAGAACTAATCCTGCACTAAATTTAGAGAAATATTAATTCATGGTCATTAAGGGTATATCTTTGGGGTATAAACTCTTTGAAAAGGATATGGAGGTAAATCGAGCAGAAATTCAAGTTATAAAAAAACTACACTCACTTTTATCAAAGGGATCATGAATTTCTAAGGCATGTTGGGTTTTAAAGATAAGATAATATTAAGGACTTCTCTAAAATTAAAACTTGTAAGTTTTTTATGAGACAAGGTTGTGCTTTTTGAAATTGATTGTGAGTAGGGCTGTCAAAAAAGCTCGTTGTTCGCGAACAGTTCGTGTTCGGTTCGTCAATGAGTTCGTGTTCGATTCGTTCGATAAGTAAACGAGACAAACGCGAACAAATTTTTTTTCGTTCGGTTAGTTAAACGAACCAAACACGAACAATGATGCGTTCGTTCGTGTTCGAATCATTATTGTTTGAAATATAAAATAATAGAAAATAATTATATATAAAAATTTATTATATTTTAAAACATTAAATTTTATAAATCATAATATATAATAAAATAATAATAATAATATATTAATATACTATAGTAGTAATATACTAATATAGATATTGTATATTTATATAATATAAGTTATATAATTAATATATAATATTATTTTTATATATTAATATTAGGGATGTCAAACTGGCTCGTCGTTCGCGAACAGCTCGTGTTCGGTTTGTGTTCGGCTCGTTCGTTAAGAAACGAACACGAGCTTATTTCAAACAAACTAAATTTTAAACGAACCGAACACGAACACAAGCTTTGTTTGTTCGTGTTTGGTTCGTTTACACCCCTAATTGTGAGTGCCTAGCAGCTTTTAATCTTTTAAAGCAAAAAAAATTAAGCACAACTATTATGGTAGCATCTAATTGACAGTGTCCATTTGAGCTTATGTGTGATGTTATTGTTCATGCCTTAAGGGTTGTGCTAGGATAGATGATTGATTAAGTCTTTTATGTGATATATTATGTTAGAAGAACTCTTAATAATGACAAAATTAATTATATTGTTACTGAAAAAGAGTTGCTAGTTGTAGTATTTACATTCAACAAATTTATATCCTACTTAATTGGTACTAGAGTAAAATTATATACAGATCGCTCAACTATTAAATATCTTGTAATTAAGAAAGAAGTAACATCACATTTGATTAGATGAATTCTCCTATTATAAGAATTTGATATTAATATAGTTGATGGAAAGTGTACTAGAAAATTAAGTATATGTTCATTTTTTGAAACTTCTATAGAAAAATTCTAAGAATTTATATGCTAACATTAATAAGAGTTTTCTTAATGAGCACTTCCTTGCAATAGTTGAACAAACTATTT